ATATATATATATATATATATATATATATATATATTACGTCAATATTTAATATATTATATCAATAATTAATGATGTGAGTTGAATTTAATAGAATGACAATATGCATAATTTTGAAAGTAGAGTAATAAAATTTGTAAAAATATGAAAGATGAGTGGCTAAAAGTACAACTAAAAAAAAATAAAATAAAAGCAGGGCGAAGGATATATAACTAATCTATCTGGGCCTACCGGCATTGGATCCAGGCCCAGGATAAGCAGGCCCACCTTTAAGAGCGGCACCCCCGCCAGCCACTTGATGGAAGCCAGGAGAACCGTACACGTGTCCCTGATGCATCATGATTCCAGCGGCACCATAACTAGCAGTGTCGTAGGCACTGTTGTTGGCATTAGAAGCAGGAGGCGCGTCCTTGTCACGCGCCGCCACGGTCTTCTCTCCCTCCATCTCCCGGAAGCGCTGGAGGTACACTTTGAGAGGCTCCACGTAGTCCTCGAAGCCGAGAGTGGTCATCGCCCAGAGGAGGTCGTCGCCGTTGATCGTCTTGCGCTTCTCGCGCTGGCACTTGTCGGAGGCCTCGCCGGTGATGAAGCTGATGAACTCCGACACGCACTCCTGCACCGTCTCCTTCGCGTCCTTCGAGATCTTCGCGTTCGCCGGTAGCGCCTTCTTCATGATGCGGCTCACGTTCGCGATCGGCAGGGACCCGTCCTGCTCCCGCGGCGACATCTCGCTTCCCTTGCCGCCGTGGTGCGCGCCGCCGGAGTCGTTGTCGGAGTCCGCCATGCGAGGTTCCGGCGACGGAGAGTCCAAGCGCTGAGAAAGATTTGAATAGCTTCGACTCGGTTCCACGTGAAATTGAAGTGCTGTTTGAACAAGAAACTTGTTCGGAGTACGAAATTCAGTGGTCGGTGAGGTTTTCTTCGGAATTGAGAATTCGATTGGGAATGGACGAGGAATTGAGAATAAGAACCGCGAACGCTGCACGAACCGGTTTGACTTGGTGTTTCTGCGTTAAAATGAAGTGCTGTTCGCAGAAGAAGGTTGTTCGGAATAGGAAATTCAGTTTTCGGTAAAGTTTTTTGCGAATTTCGAATCCGAACCACGAACGCGGTACGAATCAGTTTGACTAGGTGCTTCTGCGTGAAATTGAAGCACTGTTCGCGGAAGAAGCTTCTCGGAAACTGAGATTCAGTGTTCGGTTCAGCTTTCTTTGGAATTTCAAATTCGATTCTGAATGAACGAGAAGTTGAGAATCCGAGTTGCGAAATCGGTATGACTCGGTGGTTCTGCGTCAAATTGAAGCGTGGTTGAAACGAAATACTCAATAGCTGAAATAACTGAATCGTGCAATTTTGTTAGGGAGTCGGAATCTGTGTGGTGGCAGGGTCAGATACGGTGGCCGGCGGAAAGTGACGGCGGCTCCGGCGAGGAAGGTGAAACGAACGGAAGGATTTGTTTGGGAGGTAATGAGCAGGATCCGTTGGATCAGAAGGGTTAATAACGCTTTATCTTGAGGACACGTGGCACGCTGTGGACCGTTGTTAGTCGATAAGTGTGAGTTTGCACGGACGAATGGGAACCCTTGGATTCGGTGAGTGCTTCATGATCTGGACCGTTGCTTTGGTATCTGGCATGTGCTCGGCTCTGACTTGGACTCGCTTATTTTATTCAAAATCTTTTCTCTGTACATAATATTTAGGTTAAAACTTTTATTTCATCCCTAATAATATTTTTTTGTTTTAATTTAATCTTATTTTAATTTTTAATTTTAATTTAATCTCTAATAATTTAAATTATTATAATTTTGTATTTTCATTCAAATGATTTAAACAGAGTTAACTGTTGGTCACATGGATGTCACGTAGATGCCACGTAGATGGATGCCAAATTTTTCGAATACACCTGGAACCAGCCCGTTCTAAAAAACGTCCCTTTCTAACACCAGAATGGCCCGTTCTGGTTTCAGAACGGCCCGTTCCAATTACAAAATTAACACATAACATGTGCATGCAAAACGGGTCGTTCTGGTTTCAGAACGGACCGTTCTGGTTCCAGGTGTATTCATGAAATTTGGCGTCCACCTATGTATCTACGTGGCATCTACCTGGCATCCACGTAGCCAACAGTTAACTCTGTTTAAATTATTTGGACGGAAGTCCTAAATTGCAATAATTTAAATTATTGGAGACTAAATTGAAACAAAAAATTAAAATAGAACTAAATTGAAACAAAAAAAAATATTATAAAGAACTAAATAAAGATTTTAATATAATATTTAATATCCATATAATACGATACGAAGAAAGGAGAGCATTACAAATACATGCAATATAAATGAATTAGTAAAAGTGCATTAAATATAAAATAATAATAATAATATTTTTTGGAATGAAATTAATTTAAACTTATATTCATACCTTGATTTGACAGTGGCAATTATGGTGGTGAAGGATTCAAAGAATTATTTTTCTATTTATGCTAAATGAAAACAATTATGGTATGAAGGATGAGTATTGAAAATTAGTTACCTTTCGAAGTGCAGAACATTTAGTGATTGTAATCTACCATTCTCTATATGTCTTAGTATTGTATTGAAGGTATAAATTCAATTTGTGGTGGCGAGTCTAAAAAATGTGCGTTATCTTTATATTATATAATGAGTATATGAATTTTATTTATGATCATAATCAAATTTATATAAAAATCACAAAATTGATTTAGTGTTAACTATTTAGTTAACTTGGTCGAAAACTTATTAGTGATCAAATGGTCGTTTGACTGGAGATTCAAATGATATACAACCTTTCAAGTTCGAGCACCAGAATGCATAAAGTTTCAGCTCAACCTAGTCAATCGAAAGAAGAGTCTTACAATACACATAACTATAGACTTAAACACCAAAGTGTGAAAAGTCTCATTTCAAATTTTTTGACCGGTTAGAGAATCGAATGATACACAATTCCTAAGCTCGAGCACTAGAATACAAAGAGTTTTAACTCAGCTTGGTTGTTTGAAAGGAGAGTTGTATTATATACAACCTTCCAAGCTCGAGCACTAGAATACAAAGAGTCTCAGTTCAGACTACTATGTCAATTAGAGATTCGAATGATACACAGTCCTCCAGCCTTGAGCACCAAAATATGTAGAGTCTTAACTCAACCTAATCGGTCGGAAGGAGAGTTGTATGGTACAAAAACAATTATACCTAGAATTTTAATTATATTTTGAGTTTTTGTTTAAATTTATTATTCTTAACGATTGTATTTCTCCTCATATAAAAATTGAATAACCTGTATGAAAATTAAAAAAAAAAAATTCAGAATAACTAACAAAAAATGAAAGTATATATTTTAACAATTATACTTCATGGAACATATTCTAAGGGTGTTTTCTTTATTATTTTTAATTTTCAATGAAAGTACTTTTAAGAATTTTCTTAATATTTTATCACTTTTAATCTATTCTTTTCATTTTTATTTGTAAATTGAATTTTAATATATTTTTTTAAAAAAATTACCGCTAGTTTACAATGATTTTGTATCAAAAAATATATTTTTATGATAAATATAAAATATAATTTATATATTCAAAAGCATTTATTTATTATACATTTTAGTTATATAAATAGTAATAAATATTTAAAGAGATAGTAATGATTAATCAATATCAAAATAAAAATAAAATGTAAATGCATAATCAAATTATAATTTTTTTATTTAAAATTTTAAAAATAAGAGTAGTTTATATTTTGTTTTTAAAAAAGATAAGAGAATGTATTAATACTTAAATTAACCCAAATGAATTATCAGTAAATTTTTAGTGGTAAGTGATAAATAATATGAAATGGTTTTCATAACATTTAAAAAAAATGTAAAAAAGAGTTACCTTTTAAAATAACTTTTTTTTCCCACTTCACTCATATATTTGTCCTTTCTTGATTGATTAAAAAAATTCATTTGTGATACTTCTTAATTCTTATGGAACTTATACCACAACATGCTGAATTTTTTTACTGAACTTGATTTTTTTTAAAATAAAAACTTTTAAATACTTAATATTCAGATTTTAAAAAAAATGACATTTTGAGTAGGTAAATTTGACGGGAGGAAAAAACTAATGCTCACATCACATGTGACATCAACCCCATTGCTTGAATTATTATTATTATTATTATTTTGCATAATAGTGAGTTGATTTCAATTTAATTTATACAGTCCTAGTCCTTGTCTTTGATGACTAAATATTTTATCATTGTTATGATATTTATCTTCGTGTTAGTATCCGTGGTTTGAATGTATCTATAAACAGTGTGTTTGCTTTGGACCACGGATAACAGATTCCTGTGTGTTTGGTTATTATAAACTGATACATTTACATTCCATATAAAGTAACGATACTTAGTTCTTTTATAATTTTAAACAATATTCAAAAACATTTTTTATCTTACTTTATTTTTTGAATTAAACTTAATCACTTGCAATGAAATTAGCAAAATATTTGCAAGTCAATAACACAAAAGTTTTGTAATATTAAAAATAAAATATCTTAAAAGGGGAATTGAGAGGCTTTGATTGCTTGCCAAACAGTGTTGGCAATTGGTTCGGTAGATTTTGACTTGGAAGCTTCTCTTAATGCCACTCATTTCCTGAATGGAGGGTTTGTGGTTCTTTAGAAAAAAGGGAGTTTGATTTGATGTGTAGGTCGTATTTGGTCATCAATGTTACTACTCACTTTTCCTCATCATTTACTTGATACATCTTTACATATTATTTGATCATATATTTTTTTATTTACATTATGATTCTAGTTTCTAATATAAATTTAGAGTTGAAAAAGCGGACTATCCTATCTATTATTGGTTCACTAAATGCAACCCACGCCTTATAATAAGATGAGTCAAAATATGAGTTCAATTTGATATTTTAAATTAATGTTTAAGTGTGACTTTATAAAATTTATAAACTTTTTAAATCAGCTTGTTTTTTTAGTGTGAATTTTTGGTAGTGGATTTTTTTTTATTTGACTATCACCAATATCATTAATGTTTTTTCCAAAATTACAAATGTCCATTTTTTTATATGATAATAAAGAAACATACAATATTTTTAATTATTCACCATCAAACTCTATAAAAAAAAATTAAAAATAATGCTGGAAAACACAATTTGAATACTCAATCACAAATTACACATTCTTATGAAAGTATTTTTTTTTTGTAAAATTTGTAAATTTGATTTATATATTAAAAAATTTCAATTCAACAGTTAAATTATTAAAATTTGATATAAAATATAAGTTATTAAGTGAAATAAGTTTATCAAGACTTACTGTTTGAGTAAGTGAATCTCTCCATACACGCACGCGCACACACATGACACACTAGCCAATAGCAATAGATAGACACATAAAATCTAAATTTATCATTTTTGTTTCATCCTTCACAGATTAAATATGTGAAATCAACATTATAAAACTTAAAGTGTAAAACATTTTATGGTTTAGAGTTAGACCGCTTTACTATATAATGAAGAATAATTGAGAATAGGAGTCGCATGTTGTAGCAAGCTTTAGTCAGTTACAATGCAATTCCAAAATAGCACCGTCGTAAAAAGAAAAGAAAGAGGGTTTCTATGTATGTATGAGTAGGCTAAATAAGGGTTTGAGTATTTGACATAGTTATGTGATTTATTTTGATTCTTTGAACTTCTCATTCTTAAACTTTTGTTCTTTCTCTTTTATTTTTCAATGATAAGTAATATATAAAATACTAAAATTTAAAAAAGGAGTGACATGTCGTGCCACGATCGGACTAGCCTGGCTCAAACCTTTTTATAATACAAGCATGCATTTAATTTGGATTTGAAATTTACAATAAGTCTTATAATTTATCGATTAACCCATTAAATTCAACTAATTTTGTCAACTCTATCTAAAATATAAAGAGATGTTAAATTTTTGAATTTTCTTTATTATTGAGCAACTCTTCAATAAATATATATATATAACTTAATCACATTTCATGTCATTCATTTTTATTATCTTACAAACTCGAAGTTCAGACCCTTACTTAAAAAAAACTGACTTCAGTCCTCTTACACAAAACCTAGTTAATAGTAAAAAAGTATAACCGATCGATTATACGTTAATAATTCTTCCTTACAAGAGAAAATTTATACCCAGAACACATCATAACTAGTTAGTCATGAATCAGTTATATGGCAATATGGCATTGATGCCAAAGGTAACTATGATTTATTCATTAGTCTATCACTAATCATAAGATTCACATTGCTGCAAAAGGGGTGAGTTATTTTGCTTGTCATTAAGTGTTGCAATGTGGAAAATCATTTGATATTGGCACTGCCTATCAACTATCATATGCTTTGTATAATGTATACATCTTTCCTTGTTGCTATAATGGAGCAGAAGAAAGTTCCACGAATGTATATATTTTATTTTT